TCGTGTAGAGCAACTTTTTATTAGCTGGAATCCAAATTTTTAAAATATTATGCCGAGTAGTTTTCAAGATATGATTTTTTGAAGTTAAAGTTTGCTTTTCAGGCATTGTGAGAAATGCATGTTCATCTTACTTAAAATTGCATTTTTATAAAAGTATTTCTTTTAAGTTAAGGTTTGCTAATCAAGCATTGCTCCATATAGGAGAAATGCATGTTCATCTTACTTAAAATTGCATTTTTATAAAAGTATTTGTTTTAAGACTCTCCTTTTGCTTAAAAATGGTCAATTGCACCTTTTTTGTTCTAATTAGAATAAACAAAAACTGTTTGTTTACTTAAAACAAATAAAGAGTACCTGCGTACTAATCGTACTAATTAAAGCAAATAACGAGTTTTTTTGTTGTAAAAATGACGACTGATCATTGAGCAAAGAGGATGTAGAAGTTTAAGGTACGAGTCTTAAATATAAGGGCAAATCTATTTCAAATCAAATCACTTTCCATTCAGATTTCGACTTGTTCATTTTGTTCTAGCTTTCTGAACTTTTTTTGAAAATGTTCTGAGCAAATGCTTTCTCATCACTTTCGAGTGATGTTTAATGCAATAAGTCACCTGATTTATTTTGTGCATTCTACGATTAGCTTCAGTTAGCTTGTAGGTAGTAGTTATTGTGATAACAGTTGCACACGAAGTAACTGACTTATTGCATTCAACATCAGTAGAAAGTGATGAAAAAGCATTTGCTGAGAACATTTTCAAAAAAAAGTTCAGAAAGCTAGAACAAAGTGAACAGGTTGGAATCTGAATGGAATGTGATTTAAATTGAAAAAGATTTGTTTTTATATTTAAAGCTACTGCTTTAAACTTCTAGATCCTTTTTGCTCAATGATCAATGAACATTTTTAGAACAAAAAAACTCGTTATTTGCTTTAATTAGTACGCAGACACTCTTTGTTTGTTTTAAATAAACAAACAGTTTTTGTTTATTCTAATTAGAACAAAGAAGGTGCAATTGACTATTTTTAAGCAAAAGAAGAGTCTTAAAACAAATACTTTTATAAAAATGCAATTTTAAGTAAGATTAACATGCATTTCTCCTATATGGAGCAATAAATCGATTAACTAGTTAACGTTTAATAATCACAGGGCGACAAAAAAAGTCATGTCGTGACAACTTGACAAATTTTATATCATTTTGTTCGTCTCAGTGAGACAAATCAAATGCACTAAAAAAAATTTCAAAAAGTTCACACACTTTAAACTAATTAATTTTTTTTCTAATTTAAATGAATTTAAAACTTAACTTTAAAAAATCTCCTATATGGAGCAATGCTTGATTAGCAAACCTTAACTTCAAAAAATCATATCTTGAAAACTACTCGGTATATTCTTACGAAATTTGTATTACAACTAATAAAAAGATGCTCTACACGATGGTAACAAAGAAAAAAAATTACTCGTAGGGTTTTTCTTAGATTACTTCGATTTACTTCGAACTTCTTCGAACACTGTTCGAAGAAAAGTTTGCCAATATTCAATTTCAAATTGCATATCATTCTAAAGGAAATCGGCCTAATAGTTATTGAGTAATGATTTTTTAAAGTTAAGTTTTAAATTCATTTAAATTAGAAAAAAAATTAATTAGTTCAAAGTGTGTGAACTTTTTGAATTTTTTTTTAGTGCATTTGATTTGTCTCACTGAGACGAACAAAATGATATAAAATTTGTCAAGTTGTCACGACATGACTTTTTTTGTCGCCCTGTGATTATTAAACGTTAACTAGTTAATCGATTTATTTTAGTTTGTGGAGGAACTCTAACATCGATTGAAGGGTATTTTGCTTCGCCAGGTTACCCAAAAAAATAC